TCTTCATGGGTGCAAGTCTACCTTGGGGTGGGCCTAGTCACAGAGCTCTCTGTTACACTGCCTCTTCATAGGGGCAAGTCTACCTTGGGCTGGGCCTAGTCACAGAGCTCTGTCTTACACTGCCTCTTCATAGGGGCAAGTCTACCTTCGGGTGGGCCTACTCACAGAGCTCTCTGTTACACTGGCAATGCTGGCTCCTGAAAGAGCAACATGGAGAGAATTTTGTGGAGACGTGGGGTCCTGAGAGTTAGGAGGACACTGAGATGGCTTAAGGCAGTCCTCAAGGTGAGGGGTTAGTGCCTGGGCATCACCCCTCTGAAGTGCCACGGCCCATAGGGGGCATCTTGATTTGGCAATTCCTCCTGTCTCCTAAGGGCCATCCTTATTTCCCAATCCCTTTTGTTCCAAGCCCTCTGGCTTTCTGCAGGCCACCTACCTGAGGTCTCCAGGGCATAATCCAGAAGCCCGATTCGATCTTCACTGTGTTCTTTCAGGGCCTCCTTTATGATCTGGTTCACTTCCTAAAAGACAGGCATGCACTACTCAGGGGCCAGGTCACCAGCAGGGCTGGCCCAGCCCATGTGGGGGGCAGGCAAGCATGCTACCTGCTCAGTCAGTGTTTTCCCCTCCCTCCTCGCAGGCTCTTCTGAGGGCAAACCAGTTACCCCAGCCAGGAGGACAGCCAGTGGGGCAGGCCTCACTTCCTTTGTCACGCCGGTGGTCATTCCTTCCTTCAGAAGGCTCAGTCTTAAGATGGCAGCAGCTTTGCTCACAGACTTAGGCCACTCTTGGGCCACATAACTCACGATTCTGTGCTCCAGGTCATGAAGCTGGGCCTGCACCTCCTCTTGCTTAATACCAAGGACCCGCTGAATCCAGCCAGGGACCTTAGACTCCACCTAGAAGCCACCAGAGGAAAGAGCTCAGCAAACACCAGAGCAACAGAAGAAATGAGGAAGCAAGAGGGCCTGGACTGGGGGCCTGTGGTCTCTAGAGTCACTCTGAGTTCTGGGGTCAGCATGTGCCACCTTGGTGCCTGGGAAGGCATGGTGAACCAAGTGACTGGCATTTCTCCACTGATTTGAGGTTTGCAAAAATCATCTCATTGGATCTGCTAGGGGCTGTTATTATCCCAATTGACAGATGAAGAACGTCCTGTCCATATCATAAAGTCCACCCAATGGGCCTACATCTTTGGGAAGTGCGCAGGGGACGCGTGGCCTAACTGGTAGACCAGATGACTCACCTCATTGCGCAGGGCCACCATCTTCTCTGGCCAAAGGTGTAATTCTTTTTGCACCTCAGCTTGCCTCTGGCTCAAGGCCGCCAGCTCCTGCCTCAAGCCAACCAGCTGGGCCTCTAGGGAATCCATCTCCTTTGGCCTTTTCTCCTCTTGGGAAGAACTAGACAGGGACAAAAGGAAAGGTCAAAGTCAACCAGGAGAATAGGCACTGGCGGATGGAGTCAAACAGAGGTCAGGAAATGGAACTGTGTCTCCTGAAGAAAACCACGACTCAATGGAAAGGAGAGAGCCAGCGGCCTGGGTGCAAGTCTTTGCTGACATCTACTCCCTGGGAGAGCCTGGGCAGATCATTTCCCTTCCAGGCCTCAGTACCTTCATCTGTTCTCTGAGGTCGGCTTCAGTTTGTATCGATCCTATAAACCTGCTAACCGAAGTGCTCTGGCTCCAGTGACCCCTTTCTCCCTGGGAATCTCACTTGTGCTCTCTCAGCTCTAGCTTTCTACCCCTCTTTCCCTCCTTTTCTCTTTGCCAGGCAGTTTGGGGCCTTACCTGTGCCACTCAGATGTCTTCTGCACCACCTCACTTTCCAGCTCCTGGAAGGACAAAGAGGTTACAATGAGACTGAGGAAAACACCAACCTTTACCCAGAGAACCCTAGAGTGTCAACTAAAATAAATCAGTTAAAACAATTCCTTAAACCAAATTGCAGGATAAAAAAGTAACCCATGAAAACCATCAGCATTTCTATACATCAACCAAGAAAATCCAGCAGGAGAGAGAGAGAGAGAGAGAGAGAGAGAGAGAGAGAGAGAGAGAGAG